AATCGGAAGAGAATGAAATTGTATAAAAAAAAGAAAAAAATCATCGCAAGTGTTGAAGCGTCGTCGTTTAGTTTAAACATACGTGTAATACGCGTGAGTTATCCGCTTACACGTATTACACCACGTGGGACCCATCGAAATGGGTAGCCGAGTTGGTTCAGAAAAATTGCCGACTTGTGAAAGGAAATTCAAAATTAAGAAAGAATGTATTGAAGGGAAAATATAATTTATTCATTTTATTAATTATAAATTTTATAGGAGAATATTTCAAGTTATAAAGTTTTGGATGGAAGTTTCCGAGAATGGCCACGTGGGACCATGGGGACAAGGTGGAAGACTGCCACGTCAGAGTGTTGGTGTGTAAATGGATATAGGTGGACAAACCATGTGACGTGTTCCAAGATTTTGGGCTCTATCTAGTGCGACACGTGGCGTGAACAGAATGCTCATGCGCCTTGTCTTTTACTGTTGTGTGCTTTGCATGTAGGCATTGTCTTGTTGCTTCTACGTGAGGTAATGTCCAAAACTGAAATCCCAAGTACTTGCACGAAACTAATTGTATTATTTTCTTGTTTTCTTTATTTGTTTTCCTCTTCGGATCAACAATATTATCATCATACACTTCAAATATGTAAATGTTGATAAGATATAGCTTTTTAGAGATCTATATTTTCTATCAAGAAACACCATAACAGTTAATGATTGAAAAGTAGTCGTAGCTTTTCTGAATTGAACATTAATGAATTTTTGTATAATTTTACTTGATCGTTCATGATAAGCTTAGCCGGTGAACACAGTCTTCACAAAATATACAGCTTAGAGGGTCATTTGGAACCGTAGTGCTTGTAGTTAAGGTCGGACTACACGATTCTATTCGTATCAAATCCGATCTTGGTAACTAAAAACATTTAGAAATTGTACAAAAACTGAATCCTTTGTACAAGTATCATCAAACAACAACAGTAAGACAATTTGTAAAACTATACCCAACAAGCAAAAGTTGACACCATTCAATATTTCCCCAAATCTCTCCTTTTTTATTCCTTTCGGACAAAGCAATCTCAGCACCATAAATCTCTGATTCCTCGCCGTCTCCATTATGCATCAACAATATCAGATTTTACCAAAACTAGCTACGGACACCTTGTTACAAGGCTTAACCAGTCCTTCCACACCTTTCACCACTCCGCAAAACAACCTCTGCTTTATATCATACGCTCTTAAACAACATTCACCACCACTATCAAAGCTATACAATATACCATCAATGACACAACCATTTTCCCATCTCCAACTAGAATATTGTACCAACTCGTCCGCATCCACTTCCTCTTCCCATTTACTTTCCTTAGGATCGAAAACAAAGCTATTGTTCTCACTACCCTTGAAGTAAATCTTGTCCTCCATTGACACAGAGCTAATCATTCTACGACCAGCCTCAAAGCCCGAACTCATATCGCATTCCCACGTTTTTGCTTCCGTGTCTAACACCATCATCTTGTTCGATGACCAAACACCCAAATTCTTGTCCCTCGAATAACGACCTCCGATTACGTATATCTTTCCATCGACGACGTTTAGGATCGGATCAATGACCGACTTAGGCATGATGCCAATTGGTTGCGCAATGTCATATATATCGACAGTCAATGGTTAACACATCGGATGTGGGTTTTCCATTGTAATATCCACCCAAAACAAAGATCTTCGAACCAACTACGACAAATCTTTGACCTAGATATGAATAAGGCATAGGAGGAAGCGACCCTATAAGGACCAAACGATTGTTGCGGCTGCTACGGTGGAGAGTAAACCAGCGTACATTCGGTTTGTCACTACTTTGGATTGGTACATAGATACAAGCTTCGGTGCATCCCAATAAAGATCGTCTCGCGTATAGCTCAGACGAAGCAACCATAGATCTGAACAACTTACAAAATTGGGAGAGAGTCGGGTAGTTTTGTTTTGGCACACGAGCTATACAGTTCATCAAAACGTCTTCTGGAAGTAAAGTTATCAGTGATGTCTTCTTCTGGTTCTTCGTTTTACATGCCCTAGTTTTGGTCCTTTTGGAGCAAATAATCGCCTCCATAGAGAGAGAGAATCCAACAAGCGAGAGATTTGGAGAGAGTTATGGTTTGATTTTTGAGCCCTAATTGTGTGATAAGTTCTGTATATATCATGTCGGTCGATTAGGGGTTATTTTCATGGACTCATGGGTCGGGTTAAAAATATGAATGGGCCTTTTTAAGCCCAAAACTTAATGCAAAAAAAACAAAAAAGAGCTTATAAAGTGTATATAAAGCCGAAGTGAGTTCCTCTCCGTGAATTGGTTTTTTCATCATCGTCGCCGATTTGCGACGACTACCTCCGCCGGCCGAAGCTTACTTCCGTCTGTTCATCTCCGGTGAGTTTCTCTGTTCTCACTTTTAGTCTTTTGAATTTTCATTCGTTATCTGTTACCGGCGATTATGGTGAATAAAGGTCCATCGACGATTTTTTTTCGCTGGTGCCGGAATACAACCGTCCGGTAGCTCTCTAGTTTAGGGGAATTAAGAATCTGGACTCGGAATTTCATTTGTATAGTTGAATTTTAGGATGATTTCTGAAGTTTTCCCCTAAACACTAGGGTTAGTATTCGACGGAATTGAATTTCCTCCGGTTAGGGATTTGGCTAATTCTCTGTTTTTTTTTTGTTTCATCTCGAAGGATTTTCTTAGTGAGATTTTGAATTTTTCGTGGGAGTAACAACATGAGTAACACACCAGCAACGGGGGGATCATCATCGTCTAAATCTAAAGCTTCAGGAGCTTCTCAGGCGCCGGAGAAGCGTAAACCCCTCTTTCAGAAAGAATGTAAGTGTAATATTATATTCTTTAGCTCTAAAAAGAGAAGAATCCTGTATTCTTGATTCTTTCGGGTAACAATGGTTTTGTTGCTTTTGATGATTTCCAGTGCAGCATATGATGTATGGATTTGGCGACGAGCAGAACGTAAGCTATCTTCATTCGATTGTTGTGATATGTACCAAATCGAACTGTTTTCTTTTCCTTATAAGTAGCTCACTCACTCATTGATGCCTAAGAGTAATAAGTAAGGTAGAGTGTCTTTGCTTTGAAGGGTCTTTAGAGTTTTTTTGGTATAGTTCTTGCTAGAGTTATTACGGTTTTGGTACACTGAAACTGATGCAAAGGTTCATGCCTCCTCCGTCTTTTAGCCGCTTCCAGAGACCGTGGCGCTTGTAGAAGACATTGTCGTGGAATATGTCACAGATTTGGTATCGAGTTTCTCATCTTTTGACATAAGTAGGTAGAGAGAATCTGAGTATATTAGCTGCAGGCTAACCCGGAAAGAGATGTTTAAATTATATGACAGACACATAAGGCTCAAGAGATTGGCACAAAGCGAGGAAGGCTACTAGTTGATGACTTTCTGTATCTAATCCGCAAGGTAACTAACTTACACGATCGAAGACTGAGCCTGTGAGTATGGTTTTGTATACTTTATATGTATGACTTTGTTCTTTTATTTGGTTTTATGCAGGATTTGCCAAAACTTAACCGGTGTAGAGAACTCTTGGCGATGCAAGAAGAACTGAAACAAGCTCGTAAAGCTTTTGATGTTGACGAAACAGTCGAATGATCTTTCTTTCTTACAAGTAAACCTTCTGAAGTTAGTTTTCTGTGGTTAGATTTTGAAACTCAAGACTGTAATAAACATATTATCACCAAGTGGAATTGCAGTTTGGATACATTTCATTCTTACATTTGAGCCAATGTTCTTACATCAAATCCGTAAATGGTAATCTCTTAGTAAGGATTACGAAATTGGAGCAACTGAATTTTTCTAAAAACGCCAATAAAGACGATTGTAAAATTGTGGGTTACATATTGATTACAACAAAAAAAAGGCCTATTGTTCCAACTTTTCCACTCATAATACGCAATTAAAACCTTTTTTAATTATCATGCACACAACTTCTCACCAAAATTGAAAAAAGGACAATTAACTTGAAACACTCATACGACGTCGTTGTGTTCTTGGTATTGCAAATAAGAGATTTGCCTCTGCAATTTCATTTGTTGGTAGAAATTAGCAATGAACTCTTCTGCTCTCACATCGACCCCTTTCTCTTCTTCTTCCTCCTCTTCACGATCACATTTCTCATGACAAGAATCGTTGTAATAGCCGCAGGATCTAACATCATCGGTATCATCATGACCGTCCAATTCGAAGTCGTAATCAAAATCAACCGGAGCAGCAATGCAAGGCAAGAGGGACCTCATAGATGTTGGACGATGCATCTTAACGTTAAAGATCGGTGTCTCGTCGAAAGAGAGCTGTTTCTCTCCATAACGTGAGAGATAAGGATCGTTATTATGATGGGCTAGGGCTTTAAGATGCTTGGAGAACAAGTTACGAAGCTCGAACATTTGCCATCTCTTAAAGATTCCACCTTTTCTTCCCCATATAAGAGCCATTCTTACAAGACTCCAAGCTCTTTGTGTTGCCATTGATCTGCTTTTCTTCTTCGAATTCCCCATGAATTTTGGTGGATTTTGTTCGAAATTTGACTTCACTTTTTTTTTTGGGTTGATTGATGCTTCGGTTCTTCAGATGATGGTGTGGGAGAAGTTGTGAACACTCATAAGTGTATTTATATACAAAAGCAAGCAGCTTTTTGCAGTTTGGTCGACGCGGAGAGAGAGAGAGATTTTCATACATAATATTCAAATAAAATTAGATTTGTTCTAAAGACAATATTAAAATCAAAACATTTGTTTTCATAAAACTGGATTTCAAGTGGGACCCCTCAAAGAGCTGTACGCGGGCAAGATCTGAGCTGTTTGGCCGTTTTGTTTGTTTCCTAATTAGTTTTTTTCTTTTTTATAAAGTGTTTCTTAATTAGTTTAAGATAAGTTTTAATATTTAAACCGAAACCAAAATGACAAAACGTGGATATAACACTCGTATAATCATGTAAATTGTGATAATGCGGTTTGATTTTCTTTTAATTATGATACAGGTGTTAATCATGTATATATGCCTTTAGGCCCTTTACACATCAAAGAGAGGTCACAAACTTTTTTACACACGAAGAAACTTTTTTCTCGTCCAAAAAGTGTATGTAATTCAAATGTTTAATTAATTGTATCTGGTTGATACTTAGTGATTAAGCTCAACCATGTTAATTAACGAACAAAATTTAGAACTAGATGATTGGCCTTGATTAATAATTGTAAAAGTATAATAAATAGATTTACGTAAGTACAATAGAACCTTCGTTGTAATATATATACTCAAATGATAATTGTAGAAATAATCAGAGACTTGCATAATAAGCTAATGTGTGATTGGTTTAGTTGCGTTACCGTTGAATAATGTCTTACGGCTGTCTCATCTAATTTAATTTCCACGCAACCGTGTCCCGTCATAGATTTTGTTATGTGTTTGTTTAAAAAAAATCAAGATTTTTTTATATTCAAAAAAATTAGTTCAGTTCGTTCTTAAAAAAAAAAAAAAGTTCAATTTTTTTTAACAAATACACCATGTAGTATATAATCACTTGAACTAAAATTCTAAACGTTAGCTAATCAACAAATTTACAAATTACTTGAATATGAAACGTTCACATGATTTCTGTGTGTTTTTAATTGTTAATCACTGTGATTAATATATGGAAAATTGGGAAGTACTGTATAACCAAGAAAAAAATTAAAACATAATAACTAAACAAAACCTTTAATGTGACACTAATCATAACTACTAATTTAGAATTTTTGGTCAGTTATTAATATGTTTCCTTTTTTTTTGGTTATTAACCAAATTAACCCTATATATCTCATCACCGGCCCTAAACAAAATAAAAAAACTACAAATGGTCGTTGTACATTGCATATTTTACGTGTGATAAAGTCTTGAGACAACTAACAGGTTTTGGAATATGGTGTAAATTGCATGGAACCATGTTTTGTGGCAGATTATTCGTCAAGTAACTTATGGCTTCGTCCTTTAAGATGATTTCTTTTTTGTGACCGATTGGTTAACCCGGAAATTCAGAAGGTCTATAATTTTATGAGGTTATTGATGTATATATAAAGGCT